TGCAATCAATTGCCGCGAACACGTAACCAATCGCCGCGAACACATGCAATAAATCGCCGTGAAGTTCGGCGTGAACACATGCAATCAATCACTGCGAACACGTGCAATCAATCGCTGCGAACACGTAACCGATCGCCACAACCACATGCAATCAATCGCCGCGAACACATGCAATCAATCGCCGTGAACATGCAATCAATCGCCGCGAACATGCAATCAATCACCGCGAACACATGCAATTAATCGCTGCAAACACATAACCAATCACCGCAAACACATGCAATCAATCGCTGCAAACACGTAACCAATCGCCGCGACCACATGCAGTCAATTACCATGAAGGCGTCCATAAGTCTGACAAATTTTGCCACCACCTAGAATTGAACGGAAACAGTCGCCTCTTAGAAGAGAACTCAACAGATCGAAAGGACAGTTTAGAAATTAGAACAGAAGGGCTGTAAGAAAAAAGAGAGTTGTTATGAACTTGGTTGTCTGACAATTTGTTTGCCACTCACACACAGAAGAATTCACACACGCCCATACATGCATGAGACACAGGGGAGGAGGAGACAGAGTCCAACTGCACACAGACCAGAGATAAGCAGCGGAATAGCAACCATGCACAGAAGGGGAGAATACACACAGTGTTTCTCTCTCTCTGACACACTCCCAACAACGAATCACAATATGACACTGCGAAGATCACGATTGGAATATGACACAGATGATGAGCCAACTCAACTCTGTTAAACCCAATTATCGTTACAGAGTTCAACCCGATGTCTCGCCACCCCAGTACCACACACTCCACTCTCAGAGTCTAGCGCTGCACTGAAACAGCCTCCCAGAGGCCAGCGCCATACACCCAGGTGAAGATCATGAACAGCGATGTAGTCCCCAGTGCCGATGAGTCACTCTGACGATGAAGAAGGCAGCTATGGCTGCCAGGCTGCTACCGTAGCAGCAGCGCCCACATGTACCCAGTGAAGAGCCTCCGAATAGTCCTGCCAAGCGCAGATACCCCCAGAGGGTAGATGCGCTGAGACCAGCCCCAGCTATGGCTGTCTCAGGGAGGCCGGCTATGGCTGTCCACTCAAGCTGAAGTCTCAGGTGCCGCTGTAGACTTCCAGCGCTGCAAAACTTGGTTGGCCACGAACGCTGCAATGCGAAAAATGAAAAGCCAAAAGTCCCCAACCGATTTTCCTACCAGACTTATAGACTTCCTACTCTAGCCTAGACCTAGACCAGACTGACTGACTGACCGGTACCGTTGCTGTTTCGGCCTCTCGGCCGCTACCGTACCCGGCTATAGGCTATAGGACCGTATAGCAGTATAGGCCACGTAGGCCTGTCTGTCCTAGGGGTAGCCCGGGCCTGCTATAAGCAGTTAGGGTAGCTGTAGGAATTCGGTTAGTACCGGGCCTGCATTTCCCCGGAATTGCAGATCTGTCCCTCACGAATTTCCTCGCAGGCAGGTCTCTCGGTTAGCCCTCAGCCCAACAAAATTACAAAACTAACCCGACGGTTAGTGTACAGCCGCGCAGTGAATCTAGGCAGCAGAAATCAGCAAGTCATTGCAGAGTTGTTTTGGAACAGATGTCTGAGCAGAGTTTTCAAACTACCTCCCGATCAGCAAACTATGATTTCAATGAGAATCCCCACTGCACGTATGTGCTTGGAGGAATTGTTGGCAAGCGCATTTCGTTCTCTTTTGTGCATGAAAAACTCCCGCCGACCGGCTTACAAGATCAGAAACAAAATAAGCCTATTCCGCATTTGCCTATGATTTTCCCTTCCTCACCCGAATACAATCTACATTCATTATTCCTGTATGTTACTATATTCAGACTTAAGAATACCCCAGATACAGCTATCTTGACTGTATGACTGTATGTTGCATTCGGGTGAAGACCGTAGTCATCATGAACTCGTCATCGTTCTCCTTCTCATGCTCGTCCTCCTCATCGTCCATCCGCCGTTTACCGTCTCATTTCCTCTGGTACACCTCCCAAACACAATCATTCCTCCCCCACTGTCCACTACTGCGGCACACCCTGTCCACACCCCCCTCGCCATCCTACTCTGTATCTTTTCCCTGAATTTCTGTCCCAGTCTTCTTGTTGCATACCGTAACGGTGCAGACCAGAACAAGAACCGACCTCTCTCGCATAGTACAGGATAGTGCAGTGGAAGGCTAAAATACCAATGATCAGACCAATCAATGCCGCAATGCAAACCAAACATACATCATCATCATTGCATGGTGTGAAGGGGCCTGGCACTCACACAGGAAGAATGCGCCAGTCCCAAACATACATAGACAAAGAGGAGGGGGGTTAGGCGAAGAAGAGGGGGAAGATGGGAATGTTGTCAACACCAAGTCTTCGGTACAGGTCGCAAATAATCCTTCGTCCAATGTCTCAATCCCAATGTCGAGTCTGAATCCAAATGTCGTAGAGTCCCCAAAGTCACCAATCTCTCTCTCTCTCTCGTAGTCTGCAGAGTCAGGTGGCAAGGGGGTGAGGGAAAGATGGTGGACTTAGGAGGAAGAAGAAGAACTCTCTCTCTCCCTCTCGTACCAACCTGTGAAGGTGGCGCCTGGTTGCAGGTACATCGAAGACGAAGCTGGAGCTATGGCGCCACAGGTAAGTCTCCCTGGCCTCCGCCCTACTCTCTCTCTCCCAACGCTACTCTACCTCCTAGCAGCGCCCAGCGATGAAGACTACTCTAGCGCTAGCTACTACAACTGCAGTGCTCCTCCAGAGTGCTGCGGCCGACTCCTCAAGACTGCCTCCTGAACTCACGTGAAGTGCCTGTGAACTGCCTGGGAAGTCGATATGCCTACCTGCAGCCTGCACGGCGGGCCAGTACTATATAGTGCTGGCCCATCTGGGAGGCTGCTCTTGCCAATGCCGAAACGTGCCAGACCCTGGCGTTGAAGTTCAAACAAAGGTGGTCTTGAAACAGGCCCAAAAATGGCCTGTGCGAAACCCTGGTCTGGCGCCTGAGTTTCAGGGCAGGTCGAATTTATGAGGGCCTGAAAATGGCCCTCGTTTTCGGGCTTTTAGGCTGAAACTACACAGGGCCTGAAAATGGCCCTCGTTTTCAGGCTTTTAGGCTGAAACGACACAGGTTGGTCCAATTCTTCCAGAGGTCATGGTGGTTTAAACCATTGTTAACAACAGGGTCGTGAACTGTGACCACAGACAGGACACATAGTAAAACGTGATAGGGCTCCAGAGGGTCATTCCTTGCATTGGGAGGTAGGTTTTACGAGAACTGTAAGGTAGCTTACCTTGTGTTGGGAGGCAAATTTTCCGGATGTGATCTGGCCTGGTGCTGTTGCTGAAGCAGAGCTGCTTGTTGCTGTTGTTGCTGCTGTTGCTGTTGTTGTTGCTGCTGCTGCTGCTGCTGCTGTTGCTGCTGTTGCTGCTGTTGCTGATGATGATGCTGAAGTAAGAGTTGTTGATGCTGTTGCTGGTGCGCCTGGTGAGCATGTGCCTGAGCTGCTGCCTGCTGCAGGATGAGTTGCTGCTGCTGTTGAACTTGCCTTTGTTGCTGGAGAGCAATCGTCGCCGCTAGTGCCTGTAGATGGTCAACCATACAACAGGCGAAAAACCATGTGAAATCAACCAGACCAATGAAACAGAAAACAACAATGAAGCGAATATACAAAGAGACACACACACACACACACACACACACACACACACACACAAAGGACAAAAACCATGTGAAATCAACAGGACCAAGGAAAACACACACACACACACACACAAAGGACAAAAACCATGCGAAATCAACAGGACCAAGGAAAACACACACACACACACAAAGGACAAAAACCATGCGAAATCAACAGGACCAAGGAAAACACACACACACACACACACACACACACACACACACACACACACACACACACACACACACACACACACTCACNCACACACACACACACACACACACACACACACACACACACACACACACACACACACACACACTCACACAAAGGACAAAAACCATGGTCCACAGGACCAAGGAAAACAAAACCAACAAGCACAGATGCGCTTGCACACACACACACACGCGCACACACACGCACACACGCACACACGCACACACACACACACACACACAAAACACACACACACAAACAAAGGAGAAAAAGCATGTAAAATACACAGGATCAAGGACGTGAAATCAGCAAGCAGCCATACATGCACACACGCGTATGCACACACATGAGATGCTCATTTTTTCCAAGTTTGTCGGAGTGCGTCAAAAGGTCATAAGTGCACTCTCCTATATGTGATTAGCAGTTCAGAGCGACGTCAACAAGCATCAATGATTCTGATGAACCACCAACGATGATCTATCTAAAAATAGCAGCACCCTCACAATCGCAGAAAGAGAAGGGATTGCCACCGGGAGCCGGCACGTTTGAATGTCCACATGCCATGCCAGTAATGAGGAGAGCACCGTGACTTCCTCTTTGCAATTCTTTTCTTCGCATGCTTGAGCTGAGCTGAACTGAGAAGCAAGTGCCGCTACTAATTTGCATACTTGAGAAGAGGAGAGCTCGTACCTGTGCCTGTGCCTGCACTTGGACTTGAACAAGAGCAGCATTCGGCTGAGCACTAGGTGATGCTGCACAACATGTTGTCGAAGTGTGCACAGGTCGTTAGGACTCAGGAGGCAAAAAATGATGGCGTTAGTAACTTGTTAGAACTTAGAAATAATCACAAACAAAACATTCATCTCACAGTGATCCACCAGTGGTAGTCCCAGCGCCCAGGTAGTCCCAGATCATCTAGAGGCAGTGGCGGTCTCATTTAATGGAAAGTCACTTTCCACACTGACTCTTCACTCTGCACTCTTGAAAACCCACCCACAGCCAGACTCTGACCCCTCACTCCAGATCTTCTTTTTTTCTTTTTTTTCCCCTCACTCCAGATCTCTCTCACCCCGACACATAACATATACAGTCTGCCATTTTCGTTATTTCACCTACTATATGGGCCACAGGACACATGCTACATTTCTTTATTTCACTCCTTTCTAGTTTTGGGCCTTCTGGCAGCATAGCATTTCAGTATTTCAGTAGATCGGACAAGAGTCAGATACGGCCACCCTTGCAGCTCTAGTCGCTACGCAAGGGGGGGGTGCTTCGGCCATCCTCCCCCCAAACCATGACACACATTTACAGGGTACACTGGCTGGCCGGGAAGTTTACTGACAGCACCCTGACACCCAGCATGTGGATCCTGTGAATGGCGGCGCGCAGGGGAGGACCTCCAGCAGCCTCACCGGCCAGTCCATATCCAGAACCTAACTAGATACCCATTTGTCAGTCCTTGTCCCTACCTTCCCTGCAAAGTACTGTCTCACTATTCCTTAACCCACCAATGGCATCAAATTACTTACCTATTGCCTACCTTACTACTACCTACCGCCATTCGTCAAGGATTGTCCTCTTACATGCCCTTCCCTTACACTGGCTATACCCTTGTTGACTTCCCCCACTCCCCTTGTTCCTGCTGTCTGCGCATGGTACCCCGGCTTTTTTTCCTTCACATTGTCTCCCTTCCCACCCTCCCCTTTTCCCTCTCATACTAACCCTCCTCCCTCTTCTCCATCCCTATCCTATCCTCTTCTCCCTGTAATGTACCTAGCCTACTGCTTGTTTTGTCATATCCTTGTTTGTTCCCACTAACTTCCAAACCTCTAAATTACACCTCGGTCTCCACCTGACATGGTCATCGCTCCAACAGGGGCCCAAATGAGACACAGCCCGACTGGGGATCCGGCACCAACAGCTGTGGATAGAGGTTCCATCTCCTCCAAAGCGGTCGTTTCCTTGCCCTGCTCGGCCGCACCGACGGAAATCAGCCCAGATGGCCACTCAAATATTTTCCATCGATTGTCCCTGATATAGCCGGAGAGTGGGGGCCATACCCTGCCTACAACGCTCGTTGGTGCCGGTGTGCCACCTTATATGCGCAGAATTGGCCTTGTTCCTTGGCCCGTCCTTCACATACCGCCACCATCTCCACGCTGCCTTTCGAAATTCGGCTTTGAGCAGCCAGGGACATCCGCAGTGGTTCACCCATCCATTCATATCCCGAACCAGACTGAACGTGCGACACAGTGACTTCCAGCCATTCTTCCCGAGGGGGCTGTTCCACTCGATAGACCACGTCCGGCCTGGCGACCCCTTGAATTCGCACCCATTCTCCCTGTGCCACCTCATCCTTCTTAAGCAGGTTTATCCATTGGGAGGGGATAGCCTCTCTCAACTCCCTCACTCTTTTCATTTTCCATGCTTTCCCAGCGAGCATTATCATCATCTCGCTGTCTGTGTGCCAGTCTTTACGAATCTCATTCCATAGGTGTCCCACTTTAAATACGCCCCGCTCTGCCCACTTCCACCCGAAAGCTCCCCGCTGACCGTGCCACGGGAAGGGGTCACCTGCTTCATCGCATATAAATCTGTTGTCGAATAGCAGCTGGTTGACCATCGCGTCAGCAGATGCTGGTAACCGGGTCCTCAGCTGCACCTTTTTCCACAAGGTCAATTTAGTGGACCACACTGTACCTCTGCGAACGTGACCTATCAAAGAGCTGCTCAGCAGGCATACTTCCACCGTATCCTCCGGGACCTGCAGCGTGTATGCCAGGTGGGCTCGTGTAACCTCTTGCCATGTCTTCCCCATTGTCCCCAGCAGGACCGAGCGCAATTGGCGGAGTTGGAGGGCTATGATCTGTAGCCTCAGGTCCAACAGTCCCAAGCCACTCTGCAGATTGCGTCTTCAGCCTTCTCATCATTCGACCACAGATGGGCATGGATCGCATGCCTGATCAACCGGAAAGTTCATTTACCCGGCATGTGCACTGCCCCTGCATACCATAGTGTTGCCAAGACCGAGTTCTTCGCTACCGGGGCCTTGCCAAACACCCCCATGCTACCTTTTGCACTCCACACCTTAAGCCTGGCCACCGCAGCGACTGGTCGAATTGCCATCTGTTCTGGTCCCCCGTAAGTCGGGGTCAGGTTAAATCCCAAGAAGACCATTCTTTGCCCGTTCTCAACTGTCGGGATATCCCATCCTTACACGGCGAGACCACACCCGGGCCCATCACCGCTTTAGACTTTAGCCAGTTGGCTCATGTCCTGGAGTACTTGCAGAATACATCCAGGTCCTCTTTCAACAATCCCAACTGCTGGACCGTCTGCGGAATGACTGCTCCTGTGCCATCCGCGAAGGCCGTCGTCCGCGACATCCAAGCCCTCCAACCTGTCGTCTGCTCTCAATAATTCATGCAGTGATTCGATATAGATGGCATAGAGGGCGGGGGACAGCGGGCAACCCTGCCTAACTGACCTTGTAACCCTCAAGCTGTCCGATCTTACCCCGTTCACTTGCATGACCGTGTTTGCTCCCTTGAACAGACTGCGGACCCAAGTACAGAAAACTCCTCCTACCCCTGACACGCCATACTTTGCAGCAAGAACTCCCAGCGTACTCGATCATACGCCTTCTCCAGATCAATAGACATAAAGACTCTCATTCGCCGTGTGCTTTGGTCTTCCTCTAGCACCTGTTGGGCCATGAGGACATTCGTGAGAATTTGGCGACCCGCCACAAAGCCCGTCTGTGTTTGGTCAATGATGTGCGCATTGTGCGGTAGGGCATTGCTGAGGCGGTTTGCCAGGACTTTGGCCGACATCTTGTATAGTGCGTTCAAGATAGATATCGGCCGCCAGTTCCGCACGTCCTCCTTCGGCCCCTTCTTGTAGGGCAAGACCACATAGGCATCAGCGAATCCCGGCAGAAATATTCCGGCTCTAAGCGCTTCATTGTAGGCCGCTGTGAGCAAGACAACAAAGAAATTACGGAAGTCCTTGAATAATTCCGGGATCCCGTCCAATCCTCTGGTGCTTTTAGTCGTGGCAGGGCGGCAATCGACCTTTCCACCTCCTCCGCTGTCACATCCGCTTCCATCCTGCACGTTCTGTCGAGGCTGTGGCGGCTCTGGACGTGTTTCCATACTTCCTGCTCTGGCTCAGTTGCCATGGCTGAAGGCGTCTATACCTCCTCTTCCGTGAGAAACAGACATTTTTTTATTTTTTGAGCAAAATTGAAACAGACTAAATTGGGCCGATTCAGCCCGATTCAGGTCGAAATTTTGACGAAATTGAGGGTCTGGCTTTCTCAAAACGCCGTGCCCTCTGGACTCCACCTAAGTCCAGAGACATGGACGCCGGACCCCCTGGACTCCAGCTAAATCCAGATACGTCCAAGGGGGCCCACATTTTAAGAACGCTGAACCTTCAAAAGCTACAAATTTTCAGCTGAATCGGGCCACAATTTAGTTGGTTTCAATTTCGTTCAAAAAATAAAAAATCATGTCCGTTTTCACAAATTTGCTGTTACTTCATGTTCTTCTTTCTAGAGGCCAGAACTAACCATGAGGAGAGAAGCTAGTATGCAAGTACAATGAGCATCGGAAGAAGGATAATCATTATCAAGCTCCATATACACAAGCACTGATGCCCAGAACAGTAGAAAAAGGCCCTAGATAGAAGAAACCATAAAGTGAGCATCATCCCAGAACCAAAGACAGAATTTGAACCCATCGATCGAACTTTTCGGGCTCACAATCCACTATATTGATTCTTTCACATGCACTGAAGACTTCAATCATCCCCGTACTTATAAACCAAGTTACGCCAACTTCTCAATCAAGGGTTCAGTGAAGACTCCATGGCATCGAGATGTCAAGAGTATGTACGCCTTTCACTGTAAGAGACTCCGCAAACCACTGACACACTGTCTTCCCACACACAATGAGAGAAGGGAGGGCAAGAGAAAGGCAGCAAAGAGAGAGAGAGAGGGAGGGGGGAGAGAGAAATACAGAGAGAAAGAGAGGGAGAAAGAGAGGGAGAAAGAGAGGGAGAAAGAGAGGGAGAGAGAGGGTGACAGACAGACCGACAGACCGACAGACCGACAGACAGACGGACAGAGAGAGAGAGAGGTACGTGCTGTAGCATCCCACGAAGTTGGAGAGTAAGCCTTTCATCATAAAACCACCGAAACATTGCCTTCTGTACACAGAGGGAGAGAGGAGCGAGATGAGAAAAAAGATGTCAGGGTAGACAGGGAAGAGAAGGGCGAGAGTGGCAAATAGGGAGGGAGGGGAGGGAAAAGAGCGAGGAGGAGAGGAGAGAGAGGGGAGAGACAGGAGAGAAGGTTAAAGAACTGCTTACGGGTAACTGTAATGCCGGTGGATGGAATGACTCCTGCCACATTGTTTGGACGTCCAACCTTTATACGCCTGGCGACCAGCAGCCACGGCGATGGTGCCATCCCAGGCAATGCCCAGATCACCATGAGAACGAGAGCGATTGCACCAAAGCAATCTTCTTCTTTTAAGGCATATCCAATAATGGATCCACATAATAATACGTGCGTAGACATTCATCCACTCACACATACATAACATAAATGCGTAGTTACATAGACATGCACGCATGTACATCCATACGATCCATATAGTATATCTGTCACAACAGATGCCAGGAGAAAGTACAAAGAGCCTGCGGCTCATAGCCAAATAACAGAGGCTTTCTTTACAACACATGCCAGGGGAAATGATAAGGAGCCTGCGGCACATAACCAAATAACAGAGGCTTTCCTGAAACAACGACATAACGGTTGCACTCTGTATACATCCCCCCCATCTTCGCCGGCTTTCCAAAAGAGGCACTGTGGCATGATTGTGCACATTCCTCCCCTCCCTCACCCTTCTTCTCCATATCGACTACCCCAAAACAGAGGCATTTTCCACACTTCTCCCCTCCCTAAGCCAAGATCAGTAACATCCATGCATGATGCAGCATGAAGCACCGATTCGTTGGTTAGACCACCAGTTCACACGTCGAGCCTAAGTTGACGAAGCTACTTTCCTTCCAAGGCTCGAGAGAGCCTGCAACTGCGCCTTTTTCCAAAGCGGGCTGCCGCTTTCGCTGCCAGCCCAGGCCCAAAGCCAAGTGCTCTTACCACTGCGCCTTTTTTCAAAAGCGGGCTGCCACTTTTGCTGCCAGCCCAGGCCCAAAGCCAACCGCTCAGGGTCGTGTGAACCGGTGTTTTGAAAGAACGAGAAAAGAAATTCGAGAACAAAAATCGGCAGTTGCCGCATCATTCAGAATCAGGACACATACACAACAATAACACAATGAGCTGTTACAGAATCAACTATGTTCACTTTTTCATATGCTCTTTCAGCGACAACTGCAAACTCCCTTTTTCCCACAGTACCATCAGGACACTGACTCTCGCAGAGATTGGCTGAGCAATGTATCTGTCGGCTGAGTTTCATTTTGAGTTTTCTAATTTTCTTTTTGTCTAAACGTGTTCCCTTCGGATATCCGCATTCTCCATGCGTCCTCTATAAGCGTGAATTAATTCAATACTAACCATTGTTAATTAAACTAATTTCAGTAAACCCACAGACTTTGTCCACACCTTCGACGATCCACTCCATTGGTGTAGAGAGGGACAATAATTTTTAATTTAACCATTTGTATGTCGGACTATGACTGTGTAGTACTGTGTACATAACAACTTCAATTCAAAATTTTATATCGATTAATACTTTCTAAGTGTGGTCCTTCGGGACATCCGTTAAAATTGGAACGATACAGAGAAGATTAGCATGGCCCCTGCGCAAGGATGGTATATCCTTCCCAAAGGTATACAACTTCAATTTAAGATTTTATTAAATTCAAGTAATCACTGCCGTCCAGTCAGACCTTTCAACCATAATGGGGAGGAGCGTAGAGTGCGTACAATTGTATTCATCGACTTGGCGGGGGAAAAGGAACCAAACTGCTGCTCCCCAGAATAGAAAAGAGCCTCGCTTTTTTTTTTTTTTTTTGGGGGGGGGGGGAAAGGGGGGGAACTAATTTGAGTCCAATCCATTTGTCTTTCAGATAGCATTTGCCATTCCTGACTGCTTAGGTACCCTTCACACTTCAAAAAAAAAAAAAAGTTACCATTCACCACTTCGCACTGAAATCAAACATGCATAATTACGGAGTTAAAAGAAGTGCAAAATAAAAGCAAAGACAGTTCTCAAAGGGGGGGAACTAATTTGAGTCCAATCCATTTGTCTTTCAGATAACATTTGCCATTCCTGACTGCTTAGGTACCCTTCACACTTCAAAAAAAAAAAAAAAAAGAAAGTTACCGTTCACCACTTCGCACTGAAATCAAACATGTATAATTACGGAGTTAAAAGAAGTGCAAAATAAAAGCAAAGACAGTTCTCAAAGGTTAGCGCATTTTTGAATTTTCACTCTTGCAGATCGAGGAGAAACAAGAAAAAAGAGCATCAGACACACAATTTCACACACAACTGTAGAACGGTGTTCCTAACTGTCCACATATGTTCGTTAAGTAGCAGCGACGCAAACTCCTCGAAGGTAGTAGTGAATGGTCCCTACCTTTTTTTCTGGGTAGATTGCTCTTTCCAGATAAATGACATTTCATTGCCTCGAAACGTTCGTTCAAGAACACAAAAGCAAAGAAAAGAAAACAGGGTGTGCTTATACGTTCACCAGATTTTGGGAGCGGAACACGTGGGAGAACCATGATATGATCTAAAATTGTCACATTTTAGACGTTTCACTATTTTTCAGTAATAATAACAACCAGATGCCCGCCCCGGCTACGCACGGTGGTATGTGGCCCAGGTTGGGCGGTTGCTGCATGGTGCGGGTGATGGTATGTGACTGGATAGCACTATGTCGGTGGGCTGGTACAACTCGGGGTAGGTTGACAATAGAACATCAGCTGGGTGGAGCAAACGACGCCAACAAAAACGCGCAGAGACACAAAGATTGAAAAAAAAAAAAAAAAAGCTCATGGCTGAATGCTACACCTATCCACTGTTAACAGACAGACCTGCCATCGAATCCGACCAATCCAAGGCAAAAAAGAGCTGTGAGATCTTCTCTGCCTTTCAGGGTGAACTACGTCCACTGTTAACAGACAGACCTGCCATCGAATCCGACCAATCCAAGGCAAAAAAGAGCTGTGAGATCTTCTCTGCCTTTCAGGGTGAACTACGTCGATTCTAGCTCACGACCTGCTTCGACACCCCCACCCCCCCCTCCAGAAAAAAAAAAAAAAAAAAACACAAAAATCAACAGAAACATAGCCAACCCGTGTGCTCCACGTTGAGTGCTACACATGTCCTGTGTTGATAGCATACTTGCAAGTGGACGCCGTCCGGGCGGTTCCGCACGTGGGTCGGACCGTCGGACCGGACCCACGCGGCGCACGAATGTGCGCCCAACGACCAGTTACCCCCCACCCCACCCACCCCCCAAAAAAACCGGCCCCGTCCGGTCCAGGGGGAGGGTGCCGCACGCAGCAAAGCGGACCGGACCGGACGCTCGTCCGGTCCGTCTGCTTGCAAGTATGGTTGATAGGCAGGCCTGAGCTCGAATCCTTCGAACAGAAGTGAAGAAACATCTACCATATGTCTCCCCCCTTAGCTCATTCAGGATTTGAGCTCATGACCCAAGCACTAACAGTCATGCATGTGCCTTCTTTTCGTC